TGTATGTGACGAGAGTGGACAGCCAATCCTCAGCTTGTCAAACTGTTTAGAACATTAAACTGAACACCTTGTGAGGCAGTTTAATCGGCCGGAGTCGTCAGATTTCTCGCCGGCCAATGATCGCCCTGATTCCTGAGCAGTCGCTTTGGATCTGCCCTCTCGCTCAGAAGTCGAACGTGAGACCAGACTGTTGAGGATGAATAAGGCCTCGGGACCAAATGATCTTCGTCCAACCCTTTTCAAACTCGAGAGACCTGCTCTTGTGTATGTTTTACACGAAGTAGTAGTGAAACTGGTGGGGTCAGGCGACTGTCCTAACAGAATGTGAGGCTCACGTTCGAAATGCGGCAGCCATAGAGGAATCAGTCTGTTCTCCATCACCTCCGTTGCTTGCCTCTGTCATCCTTCACAGCCTGACGGCTACCCGTGAAAGGCAGATTCGTGAGGAGCAAGTAGTTTTCCGTGGAGTTCGGGGCTGCATCGATCACATCTCCACTTTACGTCAATTGTTGGATCTTCGATATATACATTGGCGGCTCACCGTTGTCGTGTTCCTTGACATCAATGGTGCCTTCGATCCGGTGTATCGATGTGTCCTTTGGGACTGTCTATTCAGGAAAGGTGTGTCCGAGGAATATGTGAACATTCTCCGATCGCTTTACACGTGTAGCTCAAGCAGAGTGAGGGTTTGCGGTGAACTGTCGCCGCCCTTCAATATCTCCAGCGGTGTAAGACAAGGATGCCTGCTGTCACCTTCTTCAAATTCACTATTAACAAAGTCATGGAAATCGTGTTCACTGTACACGGCCTAGAAGGTGTGGATCTGCTTCTAGGCGAACAGCTTTTTGACTTGGAGTATGACGATATTGCCCTCATCTGTGACAGCTCATAAACATGCCAAGTTACACTGGACAGATTAGCACTGGCTGTCAGCCGTTTCGGGTTTTGCTTTGCACTCTCGAAATGCAAAGTTTTCCTCCAAGATTGTCAGGGATGGCCTCATGCGCTGACTCTTAGTGGTGATCAGCTAGAAGGCGTTCAGTAATTCAATTACCTGGGAAGTTGTACTATCGCTTTTGGGATCGAATATGAGATGATCCGCATAGCAAAAGCTCGAGGCACTTTTGCTAACCTTCGCCACCTATGGCGCCGGCGCGACATCACTCTCGCCCTGAAGGGTGGAGTGTACAATGCAGCGGTACGTTCGACCCTACTGTACGCTTGTGAAACCTGGCCCATTAGATCAGCAGACACAAAGAGGCTAGTTACGTTCGACAACCGGTGCCTTCGCAGTTTGGCTCATGTTTGCTGAGAACATGGCGTGAGCAATAAGCGTGTTCGACGCCTTGCTTATGGCACAGAAAGAAGAAGCGAACCGCTTAACACCATTATCTCACGCACCAGGCTCCGATGGATGGACCACGTGTTGCGCATGCGAGCACGCTGACTCCCGCGACGTGCGTTGTTTTTGCACCGGGGGATGGAGGGAAGAAGAGGAGGGGAAGCCAAGCGATGACTTGGTCCAGAGGAATGAAGTCCCTCACTTGGAAGTTGGCGTCGATTGGTTTGTCTCTACTGTCTGGCTGGGTTCCGATGGACGATGAACACGCCTGGTTGCATGTATTAGCTGACATAGCAAGGAGCCGATCTCAGTGGCGATTTTGTCCCTTCCCATTCTGCTTATCTTCCCTCTCCAGCCACTATCTCCCTCTTGACGCATAATATGTTACTAATTAGTGTTTTGCCTGTTTTTTCCTTTTATAATGCTCAGCATCTAGCTTTTTTCGTTCGTCTTATCTTTATTTATTGCGGAACAATAGTTGTAGTGTTTCTCATCTTCAGCTAATGTGTAATGTTGATGATCATGATGATTGTATTTGATTTCTAGAAAAGGATTGGAATTTGGTCCGTGCAGGGTTCGTTGGTCCATTTCTTAGCAAGTGCTGATCCTAACATTTTCTAAGATTGGCAGGGACCCCCACCACTCTAACACTTAGTGGTCATCATTTAGAAGTCGTCCGGAATTTGTAGCATCTTAACCGCTATATTAGCGCCTATAGGATGGAAGATGAAATCAAGAGCCGTATAGCACTAGTTCGAGGCGGCATTCCCACCGGTGGCGCCAGCACGACATCACTCTGGCAATGAAAGGTAGAGTTTACAACGCAGCCATCCGTTCAGCTCTCATGTACGGTTGTCAAATGCGCTTCATCACTTCGACAGACACAAAATGCTTGTTATGTTTGACCTTCGCAGTTCAACCAATGGCTGGCGGAAATACCGCGTGAGCAATGAGCGTGTTCGACGTCGCGTATTTGGTGCAGCAAGGGCGACTGAACCGCTCAGCATCGTTATGTCACGCATCAGTCTCCGATGGCTGGGCCGCCTGTTGCGTATGCCAGCACACCGACTCTCGCGACGTGCGTTGTTTGCGCGACCGGGGTCTGGGTGGGAGATGAGGGGAGACCAAGCGATGACTTGGTCAGGAGGAATGATTACCCCCACTTCTAATCTGCCATCGGTTTGTGCCTCCCGATTGCCAAGTTGGGGTCCGAAGGATGATGAACACGTTTGGTTGGATACCCGTCGCAACGAGACTGGACCATAGCTTGGCGCGACGGTTTGCGTACTTCTTTGACCCCATTAAGCTATGCTGGGTGGTGCCGCCAGGCCCCTTGAGAGCTACTCCTACCAGCTTTGTCACTGGTTAGAGATCAGACAAACTCAGTCTCCCGTTCCTGCATGTTGGGGTTTAAAATGGGATGGCGTCCATTTCTGTAAAGTTAGCTCTAGTCCACCTCCCCGCTGCCTTGCGGACAGACTTTTGAGCCAAAAGCTTTGCATGATGACCCTAATCGTCCTCCAGTCTAGCTCTGGGCGCCCTCACAGTATCTCAGCCAACATATAACCATGATTTTTTTCTTTTTCTTCAAACATAAACTTCATCCTGCATCGGCCGTCGCGCAGATTATCAAGGGTCGCCATATCTACTGCATACAGCAGGGCGGATAAGCGACAACATGCTACTGCTGGCGCCTCTCTTCTTTCCCACCTGTTTCTCTTACTCCCCGACCCCTATCACTAACCTGCCTTCTATAATTCCCAGCTTAATTAACAGCAACCAAAGTGCCACTGGAGTAAACCCATCCGCAGCTACCTTCCCGCAGCACCCACCGGACGCCTATCGGCAACCGTTCCTTATATGTCTACGCTGTCCAGTTTCCCTGTTGATGTTCAACGTTCGCACTCTAAGGCAAATATATCAATAGGTTGCACTTGCACGCACGTTGGACACACTTGGTTATGACGTATGTTGTCTGTCCGGAACGGTTCAATGACCCTAATGGGTTGTTGAATTAACTGCGCCCGGTTTATCCTCTCGCTATTGGTTACACGCGTCCGGAGATGCGGATGCACCACTCACAGGTCTAGCTGAGGTAGGTATCATTCTCAGCTCCAAGGCTGAGCCATCGTTGGTTGATTGGATTCCGATGAACAGTCGTTTATGTGCAGCCCGTTTGACGACATCAACTAAGGTTGCTTTACGAATTAGTACAAAACACTGTCGATTTGATATTTCCGCTTATGCAGCCACTGAATACACTTCTGATGCTGCCAAGGACACGTTCTATCACGAACTGACCGCGATACTACGCAGTACTATTAGTTCAGATACCATAGTACTTACAGGGGATATGAACTCTTCAGCAGATCAGTTAGGTGGTAATTATGGACTTTACTCCGAACGGGCTGACAATGGCAAGCGTCTGTCGCTACTGTTTACGGAGCACCAGTTGTTGCTTAGTAG